GCTGGATCACAAATGCCAATACTGGGTTACACAACTGCTGGCCAAAGGGATGTTACTTGTCAGGAAAGCTTGAGTTACACCTCTCCTTTCTCCCCCAAAAGCAATAGCTCCATCCCAGCATCAGCTGTTGAATGGGAGCGTGTGGGCATTTGGCTGTTCACAGCCCACAGACCTCTGGTACATGTTGTTTCATGTAAAAAACTGCTACGGAAGGGCTGACTGAAAGGGATGCTTCAAGCTGATAAAGAAGGAAGTAAAGAAAATGGAGGAGGACAGCAAAGAAGGGATGGATTTGGAGCTCCTGAAGAGGCTAGCTGTGCTGTTTTGGTTTCATAGAATCACAGAACCGTTAAGTTTGGAAGAGACTGCTAAGATAATCAAGTCCAACCATAAATCAGTTTCATTTGTTTAAGGGAAGAAGACTAGCACAGTTAGCTTATCCAGCTGCTAAGCTGGAGCAGAGTCCTTGGCACATAACCAGAGGCATAGAGCCGGGTGTCTGTGGGTGCTGCATGTCACACAGCCTGCAGCAGATCTGCAGAGATGGAAAAATTGAGAAAAAAATAAGAAAAAATTCTCAGAAAGAGTGGTCAGACATTGGCACAGCTGCCCAGGGACAGGGTGCACTCACTGTCCTTGGAGATGCTCAAGAACTGTGGAGATGTGGCACTGAGGGATGCGGTCAATGGGCATGGTGGGGTGGGTTGATGTCGGACCTGATGATCTTACAAGTCTTTTCTAACTTTAATGATCCTATGGTTCTATGAAAAGCTGAGTCAGGCAGTAAGCAGCCATCCTGGCACTGCTGAGTGGCACTGCATGAGCTGCAGCAGCCTTGCTCTGGGATAAATAGGTGCAGTCAAGTCTAGATGCATCCTAGATTTGAGCATGTGGGCATGCAAACACAGAGAACAGGCAGCACTACCTGCTGAAATCAGGCACGAGCGCGAGATGCTGCTCGGCATTAGGAGAGGAAAGAAGCTCTGTGCTCGCCATGCAGACAGCTGTCAGCTCCTCGGCCCTCCATCCATGCCTCAGCCTGGACTGGCTGCAATCTGCCACCATGTCAAACCTCCCATTTCCCCAGGTCAGCAGAGCTCTGAGGAAAGAGGATCCAGACAGGACTTCATCTTGGTGACAACTTTCTGTGGAAACTGAAATCCATTTGGCATTCAGGAACAGCATGTTCAGCTCTTGCCAAAAAGATCACCAGCAGCCTTTGGCACATTGGTTGTGTGGTTTCCCAAGTGGTAGAAGGGATGACAGGTTCGTATTAATTCCAGTCAGCAAATGGATTATAAATACTCCCCCAGCCAGTTGCCACCTGATAGGACTGTCCTTGAGTTCTGCAATTGTGGAAGGGAGTTGTCAACTCTAAATTTACCCACCAGCACACGTTGTGTAAACCATGCTGCTCTGAGATCCTCGGTAGAAACTTGTGCTGTAGCCCAGTATGGATTAGACCAGAAATTGCTGGTTCCACCCCCAGACAGACATCTCACTGCTGCTTATCTCAGGGTTTCGACGACAGTGAGGAGAGCAGGATGGGTTTGACAGGACGCGTCGCTGTATTGGCCATGCAATTGCCACAGCAGTCAAATCAAGTCTGAGCTAACAGAGTGATCAAAAGCCGGATCCACCTAACATCTTCCTGATGAGGTAACAGCTCCTGCTCCTAAGGATAGCCTTTCCCATCATAAAAACGCACGCCACAACTGATAGAAGGAAAGCCACGCCGAGGATGGGGTGTCCAAAAGCAGATAGAAGTGAGACAAAGCAGACAGAAATAGCGTTCCCTGGAAATGCAGTGGGCAGGATGCTAATGTTCCTCCAGACAGACTGTTCACTCGAAGAAGTGTGGCTGGATAGATGCAACTTTTGCAAAACAGAAAGTGAGCAAAAAGAAAGCAAGCAGGGAGCTCAATATTTCTAGCTTTAGAACAACACCAGTGTCGGCGCATTGGGCAAATGCACAACCCAGCTGTGCTGTGTTAAACTCTGCTCTGCTTTGGGCTTCTGATTTTGTGCCCCAGTTATTCTCTTGCTGTGCACTGCCAAGGAAGCCCAATGTCTGCTCCCCAACTGCACCCACAGTGCGGGTGCCCATTGCCCCCAGACCTCTCAGCACAGCATCTCCAAGGAGGGCCGTGGGTCCCACCAGGTGGCACCTGACAGCAGAGTGAGGAACAGCAGTGTGACAACCCAGTGGCCACTTCTGGACGGAGCCTCAAAAGGGCTCGTCCTGTATTTCCATTATTCCACGTGCTGAGTACTTTCTATCAGCTGAGACCAAACCACGCCTGCCCGAGCAGGGAAACCTCAGTGGAGGTAAATTGCAGTTCTTCTGTGCTTTTATGTATTTTACAAATCCTAGCATCTTTTAGCATCCCAAATACTCGAAGTCACACTGTGTACTGCCCCAAATGAATGCATGCTTTTAACTTCAAACCCTGCACATCACACTGTCTGAGCAACAGGAGTAATGCTTCTCCATGATACCCTCCCACACATGGGATGGGAACGCAGAACACCTGGTACCAAAGCCCTCACACACTCCTGCAATGAAAGATGCAATGAAAAGCTCTGCCTCCACAGCCTAACAGCTCACTGTGGAGCAAGGCCTGGGGCCACATGCTCAACAGGAAGCATAAAACTAAATATTGAATGGCAGCTTGCTGCACCAGCGCTGCTCATCCTGCACACTTCAGGAGGTGGAGGCCATAGGGGGGAAAAAAAGAGAAAAAAAAGCAAAGCTAAAATAAAGCCAAAAACTCCATTCCTGACTATGGATGTACACAGCAGGGGTCCCATCCTGTGTGCTGAGCACCTGACTTTGCAGCTTGCACAACAATCACTTTTCTTCATTTTTGCTCGTGCATTATATATATAAAAACTGGTTCAGAGTGAGTCCAGCAACCAGCCAAGTAAAGGGCCAACTTCAAAATGCAGATTTACTCCAGAGCTTCTGGGGCTTATCACAAAATTAGTACATAGAGCCAATGTTGTTTACTCACATCAGGCTGTAGAACAGAAGTCTGTACAGCAGGACGTGTTACCCTACAGGAACCTTAATCCAGCTAATGCTAGCAAGTCCTTGAGAAAAAATGTGGTGGGGACGAGAAAAGGAAAGATTGGGTTCAGTGAGCAAATCTTCACTGCTTCCATTGGATCTCCTCCACAGAGCTACAGCCGCGGTGCCTCCTTCTGCTCAACCCCTACAGCTCAGCACTGACACGGCCGAGGTTCAGCTCGGCACAGCTTTCCCATCCATGCCAAAATCTGAGGTTCCCAGGATGGGAGATATGTGGTGATTTTCCGCTCCGCCGTCTGCAGCAGCTTCCATCACCTTAAGTGCAAAGCTCTGCCTGAATGTGAACTACTGGATCAGGTTCATATTTTGTAAATATTATTGTTATTTTATGGACTTTGGCATCAATGAGAGCAAAGATAGAGAGGCTGGAATAAGACACAATGGTTCTGAGTGTGACTGTTATTTGTCCATTTTTTAAAACGCGGGGACGGAGAAGGAAAAGAATAGTTTAGAAATGCGGTTAAACACATTTTTTTCTCTAGAGGCATTTAGGTTTTTGCCTTTGCTTTGTTTATTCTTCTTTGGGACTAAGTAAAGCCATATTTTTAAACATAGGACATCCCCCCTTTCCATTTTAAATACTGAAATTCTAAGAGTCACTCTAGATAGGGCTCAGGCTGCTCTGCCCGCTTGGAGCCGAATGCATCTCTCAGAGTGTTTTCTTGTGGCCTAAGAAAGTATTTATTTTTTCATCCATTCCACTTGGATGCACCTTTGTTCGTTTTCCAGGGCCGGTTTGGTTCCACAACCGAAATTACAACGTGCAGCAGAATCCACCGTTTGGGCCTCCAGTCTGTTATGATACTCCAAGCACATGCATGATCCTCATAATCCACATATTTAAGCACTTACTATTTCTTTATTTCTCTTCTTAGGATTTACCGCCACGCATGGGAGCAGCGGTGGAAACAACTTCTGGACAACACGAAGGGAAAAGGCTCAGAAAACGCTCAGGGATAGAATTTTTTTTCCCCCGGTTTGGATGGGGGAGGGAGAAGCGCATTTCCAACCGCATTTCCAAACCCAAAAAGCCATTGGAGAGAAATGCAGAGGTTTGGGTCCCCCCGTGCAGTGTCGGGTGTCCCCGGGCTGCAGTGGGAGGTCGGAGTGCAGGGCCCACACGGGTGCCCCGGGCACAGAAGGGCTGCGCTGGGGCAGGCGGCATCTGGGAAGCAGCAATGCAGAGCCTGACAGCTCGGGGACAGCCAGATGTTTTCATCATTATGGAAAAAATCTGCTGGTGCCTCTTTGCCCAGAGAAATGCTGGAGGAGGAAATATCCTCTTGAGCTCTGGTCAGGGCTGCATATTAAAACTGCGATGGGTCAGGGACTAAAAAGAAAAAAGAAACCAAAGGAAGGGAGGAAGGGATGTTTTCTGCCTCTGGCTCTAGCATTTAGCACAACGATGCCCCAAAAGGCTGCATTGCCAGCCCTGGGGTTTTTTCCCAAGCCTGCTGTCCCAGAGGGCTGAGATTCCCCAGAGGGCTGAGGACTCGGCCTGCATGGGGTCCCGCTGCTGTCCCCCCAGTTCCCACCCTACGGAGCTCCCCCGTCCCTCTGCCCGCAGCAGGTGCTGCCCTGGGGCTGCATGGGGCCGGAGCACAGCGCTAACCCGGCACGGCAGCAGCGGGCGCCGCGGGTCCGGCTTACAACATTGGCACTCAAGGGGTCACCCCCCGGGATTCGCCCTTCCCATCGGATCCCCGTTCCCAAAAGCAGCGCGGCCAAATCCCCCTCCCCACTCCCCCCCCTCCCACACACCGCCTCAAAACCGTGAGGAAAGCATGCAGAACGGTGAGAAAAACCAACAGCCAAAAACGATACTCTCCAATTTGTTTAAGAAATCAACTCCGTCCACAAAATAAATTCACATTTCA